TTTGTTTAAAGAGGAAGAAGTTTCTTTTCCACCAACACTAGGAACGAAACTGAGAGCAATCCCTGTGCAAACTTGTGCACACAGGCAGGTGATGTCTATTTGCTTTTTTAATTAATTACATTATAAAGTGCTTACTTAACTAATATGAATGTGTGATCTGAATAACACTGTATAATCTTTAAGCAAAAATTAAACAGAGACTAGGCCCTCTGCCAAAAATAAGGAACCATTCCCTCGTATAAAACCGGGGTAAAAGAAACTTGCAAAACTGCCACTTCAAGATAAATTTTCTTTATTGTGTGATGTATTTTCCCTTTGAATGGAAAATCCAGATGAATAAGCACAGAAGTAAAATATAGGTGGACTAGAATTTTAATTCAGCAATAGCCTGCATTGTGTGTGTCAGCACTTCGTGATTTCCAGTAGATTAATTCAGTTCTCTGTATTTTACAAAGCTGGACAACTAATTCTTTTTTTCTCCATTACAGCCATGTGAAATAATGCTTAGCACATTTCCATCCCACAGTCCAATGACCTGATCTACCAGCTCTAACAGTTACAGGAGATCACGTTCTACCTTATGCTCTCCTGCCACCAGGCCTTAATGGCATGTTCTTGCAGTTCCTGGGTTCCTTCCCTTCCTAGGTTATATTTGTTATTTTTATACTCTTAGGACTAGAGCCACCATCAGACTATGGCAGTCATACCATGAACATTTTGCTGCAAACACCAGCTCCATGAATAGAATTTTTCAAGTGATATCTCTATTTCTAACAAAGTTTAACTGCAATTTTGGAAAAAAAAAAAAAGAAACAGCAAGGAAATCCTATCTACTTTCATGTGTTTTGGAAAGACAATGGGACAGAATCAAGTAGTGAAGTGTCTCAGACTTGTTTAATTACACACTTTGTATACAAACCAAGAGTTAAATGAGATTAAAATGTAGACACAAACAATATGTTGTAATTGTATGAGGGTTGCCAGGCAAATTGATTTAAGACTGTGTCCCTCAGCACTAGGGTTTGTTTTTCTGCAAAAACTGCTTCATCAAAAATGCCAGCGTTGCCAAACTAGAGTTGAACTTTGGAACTGTGACCTGTCACCAGGAGACTTCCCATGTGACCTTGGGGAGATCTTTTCACCTCTCCGTGCCTCAATCCTCCGTCACAATAAATAAGTAAAGAACTAAGAGCAGGAAGAGGGAATAATCTTTCTTCTACCGTCCTGCACCTGGCTTGTCTATTCAGATCACAAGTGCTTCAGGGATGGGATGAAATACCCAGTGCTGTTAACACTTGGAGGAAAATCAAGCCTGATCTAATTAAGAGTCCAAGAGAGCTGTTGTAACATGGTTAAACAGTCCACTCTGCCTTTAAAAGCTGCAAGAAAGATATTGCAGATAGGAAAGTGGCATTTTTCTATGTATTTACAAATGCTACTATAATTGATTGTTGAATGCCCATAACGTTAGAGAAGGATCCTGTGCAAAGAAGACATAATGCAGTGGTGAACTTTCCTCACAACAGGCACTGGCAGGACAAGAACAGCCTTGGTTCTGGTTCAGGAATGAAAAAGCCTTGCTCTGATCCTTCCCTAACCTCTCCTGCACCTTTTCTTCTCCCTTCCCCCTTATTTTTTTAAAGCTTAGCTGTGCATGTTGCCTTTTGGATTACCCAGGACAGATGTTCTTACCCTTACATTTCATTGTGTAAACTTACCTCCAGCTCCCACTTCAGCTGTAGCTACCAGTCTTGAATTCATTTTCTTATGGCAAGCTGCTCCCTGTATGATCATGTGGATGGCTTCACTCTTTCTTTTTTCCCTCCAGGGGGCCCTTTGCAATGTCACACAATGTGAAGAAGCAAAGTAGGCCATGGATAGACAGTCATTGAAAGCCCACATGAATCTGAACTGCTGCCCAGAACCACTCACCACTTCCTCACCACTAGTGCTTTGCCACCTCTCTCGTGCTGGCACCAGCGTTTGTTTGGCTGCTTGGTGAGCCAGAGGGAATGAATCCAGTTATTACTAACCTGGCAAAACACCTGGGGGGGAAAAAAAAAAAAAAAAAAGGAAAATCAATAAAACTTTCTACTGGCCACAACAACAGAAAAATAAGGTAACCATAAGTTTTAGGCAGGGCTAGGCTCTCTGCCTAGTCGTGTTCAACCCAGTGACTTATTTGGCACCCTAGAATCTACCATTCTGTTTTCCCTCTTCATCATGTGTGACAAGGAACCTAAAGCTTTTATTTTATTCCCCAATAAACCTTCCCTCCCCCTGCCACCCCCGTGTTTTGCCTCTGCTTTCTCCACGGACAGCTAGAAAGAAGCAGTGTACCCGCACGAGGAGAAAACATTGCTATCCTTTCCTATCCCGCAGGAATTTCAGCCCATCCCTTCCTTCATTGCTTAGCAACAGTGGCAAATCGTGCACCCAGTTTTTCAGCGTGTCTCTCTGCCTTCAGGTGAGGGGACAGGCACATTCCTGACTCTCACTTACGGCGATGGATGTGCTTATTACTTTTAACCAGACCCCAAAGCAGGGGCAGGGCAGGGGCAGGGGCAGGGCAGGGGCAGGGCAGGGAAGAGCCAGGGGAAGGGGCAGGGAAGGGAAGGGGCAGGCCAGTTTTTCAGCGTGTCTCTCTGCCTTCAGGTGAGGGGACAGGCACATTCCTGACTCTCACTTACGGCGATGGATGTGCTTATTACTTTTAACCAGACCCCAAAGCAGGGGCAGAGGTAGGAGCAGGAGCAGGAGCAGGAGCAGGGGAAGGGGCAGGAGCAGGGGAAGGGGCAGGAGCAGGGGCAGGGGCATGGG